GGATGCATTTCAGAAGAAGAGGATGCGATTTCTGGAACAAGAGTTTTATTTACCAATTTATTATTATTATTTATTACTATCAATTTTAGAATAGTACCCATCCGATCTACGCTGGCGCAGTTGCATGCTTGGACGCCGCGGTGAGTTGCCTTAAAAATTTACGATGCACAGTACAGTACGGTGGGTAAATCCCTCGTTGACTAGCTTTCACCGTTCAACAGAACAGCTTTCTTTACAACATGCCGCAGGAACCGTTTGGTCACTTTAATTCCCTTTTTGGGAAGTACGCCAGTTCTACGTATATATGCGTACGTGAGTTAATATTGAAGGCACTCTTGGTACACATGGAGTAGTAGTAGTCGTAGTAGACCATCAATTTTCGTATTATTGCAACCAAGGTGTGCAATGGCGACCGCTCTCAAATTTGCTCTCAACAAAACAACTGTTGCAATTAGCGACTGAGATGCATTCAATCCGACTGCAAGCAATGAACACCAGCACTACTAATTATAGTAGGGGCATGGTGGCCTGTCAACGACGCCCTATAAATACTGCATTTCTTGCGCTTTTAATATCCTTATCAGCGACCGTCTCCGATGATGGATTCCATTGAGAATACGAAACGTCAGGATTATAAGCAACGTGTTCCAGTGACGACACAGTTATTTCCCTCTTAATTGTTTTCTGGAACTCCGTTATTCGCTTCTGCCACCAATAGCTACATCTTCTGAGAACCCCTGTCGTTATTTTATTATTCCACAGCGGTAGGCAATCACAGAAGTCGTCAGTGTTTTTGGTCACCTTTTTCCTGCTTAGAAATTCCTTACAAGAATGACAAGGTTGTGCGTATTCCGGTTGTTCGGACAAAATGTTGCTTACCTCAAAATTATCTTCTATAGCCATGCAATGCTCAGCATTTTAGCAGAGAGGCAGTCAGCGTAATCTATATCGTTATTCAGACATTTCGGCAAAAGTTATGTGAATGAACTAGTTCTTTTTAAAGAATTCTGGAAGCCCAAAGAGCTCTGGAGGCCGAAGCAAGGACTGATTATGAATTTCCGAATGAGAAAGAAGAAGAAATGTCCTACCAAGAGTTGATTTCTATATGTTAGATGTTTTTGCCCGCCCAGAAGTCATGCTAAGGGACATCGTTTAAGCAGCATAACATTTAGGTTATTACAAAAACAGAAAAAAAGACTTGCGTACGTGTACACGCCTCTTGGAACCTACCTGACGTAAAAAATCCTGACGATATTGGCCAAAGCGAGGATTATTATTCCTCCCAATATAATGAGAGTAATTGCCTGAGCGCTGCCGGCTAAATTACATGCAAAAAGAGAGAGCGTGTGTGCATTTAAGAAGGCATAAAGGCAACGCACCCGTTCAGTACAGCATGGTTGTCCAACCTACCCATTTCACAGTCATAAATGAGGCAGGGATTGCGATTCGGGCCGTTGCTGTCCGCAGGCCATACCTTTTCGGCTACTCTCTTGACCGCAATCAGTGGCCAAAGAATCACATCGGTCAGGAGGAAAATTTCATCATAAGTCATCTGGGAGACATTTAGACGGCCACGTGAGACTTCCGGGTTAAGGGAGAAGATGAACATGTCGTAAAGGCCACGGATTTCATTGGTACCGTAGTTCTCAAAATGGAAGGTGATCTCCGGGGTGATGGGCACGTAGACGTCCTGGTTGTTCATGGGTGCAAACAGGCCTTTTGCTGGATCCAGTTTGCCACCGCCTGCCACAACGTTTAGCTGTGTGAGACGCATTGCCAGTCCAGCTGCAGCCGCCGCAGCCAGGTTTATTTTCTGGTAAGAGGAAAGGAGCAGAAAGACTAAACTGTTCGCCTAGTAGTCATCTGGTGGATTCTATTCTGATTCTTTACAAAATTATGTCTATGCAGTGTGGTCGCGCGTTCGAGTAGCAAAAACCGGATTTAGCTTTGGATGACGGTAATGCCGGTCATGTTATTCTGCCCATAACACAATTTATGGATTTCATACGTTGCATTATGTTTGGCGGGCAACGGGACCGACTTGTCGTTACATTCGCGGTTCTTAATAGAGACTCGTACCATCAATGGTTAGAGCGCTGGCTAAGCATAAACTTTGCACTTACTATCGTAGGTTCTAATTTTACCGACGCAATCGACATTTAGAAACTTGTGTCAGCTCAATATAAATTGTTGGTATTTTCATTAGGGCGGAATCTGTCGAAATATCTTCCCAGAAGAATATGAACATTGTTGATACCTGCGAGCTCTTCAGTAGTGTTTCAAAAAGGCGCACTGCACTTACGTTGGCATAAATGGAGGAATTGGGCTGATAGATAGTTCTCGTTGGCAGAGTTGTCATGATGATGAGACTCTGCCCGGCCGCTCCCAAGTCTACTCCATTTTCCAGTTCATTTCGCCAGACTGGCAGCATATCATAGGTCAGCATGTCCGTGGGCTCGATGTGGATGATGGCAATTTTGCCTTGTTTGATCGCAGTAACATTGCGCGTTTCTAGCAAGAACTCCTTTGCCAACGCCGGCCTTGTAAGCAGTATAATAGCTGAAAAACATATAGAACAGCAACGTCATGTTTGGC